TCTGAAATTTAAAACTCAGTAGAAGAGTTGGAAGATAAAATTTATGAAGTCTCTCAGAAAATACAGCCAAAAAAAAAAAAAATGTACTGAAGAAACAGAGAACACCAGTCCACAATATCCAACACCCAAGTAACAGAAATTCTAAAAAGAGAGATATAATAAACAGAGGGCAGAAAAGCATCAACAAAATAAATGAAGAAAAATTCCCAGAACTAAAGGATATGGATTTTCATATTAAAAGGATCTACCAAGTATCTGGCACATCATCATAAAATTTCAGAATACTGAGCATAAAGAGACCATCCTACAAGCTTCTACAGAGGGAAAAGAGGGAGGATACCAAATTCAAAATATTAGAAATTGAGTGGTTTTAGTCTTCTTGAAAGTAATTCTGGAAGCTAAAAGGCAATGTAACAATTATCTCTAACCTAGGTCCTCTATCTGGATACTCAAGTGCAAGGTGGAAATAAAGAATATTCAGACAAGCCAAGCCAAGTCTCAATAAAAGACTTTCTATATACTTTACTTTCCATACACTTCTATGTACTTTACTTTCTATACACTTTCTCTGGGAACTACTCCTCCAAAGCTAGCGAGTACACCATGATAAAGGAAGACATAGGGTACAGACAATACAAGATCCAAGAGAGACGCAAACAAGTCACTAGGATGACTGAAAAGGCAGATCTCTAAATGAAGGGAGGTACACCAAGCATGGGGACACGTCCATTTAGAAGCAGGACAAGAGGCTCCAGGAGAGACTTTCTCAGACAAATAAAATCTTTGAATACCTGATGAGACCAAAATTGTTGAGAAAGATTTAAACCACTGATAAAGAGCTTGAGGGACTTCCCTGGTGGTCCAATGGTTAAGAATCCAGAAGTTCACAGATTTCCTCTTAAACTCAGTGGACAAGAGAAGGAGTTAAAAAAGAGCATAGCCAAGATATGGGAGCAAGCAAGGTACCCATCAAAGGATGAATAAAGATGATGTGATATATATAATGGGATATTTCTCCACCATTAAAAAGAATGTTGCCGTCTGCAACAACATGGATGGGCCTACAGGGCATTATGCTAAGTGAAATAACTCAGTCAGAGAAAGACAAATATTGTATGATTTCACTTGTATATAAAATCTAAAAACAAATGAACAAACATAACAAAACAGAAACAAAGTCATAGATACAGAGAACAAACAGGTGATTGCCAGGGGAAGCGGGGCAGGGCGGGGAGGACAGGTGAGGGAGATTAAGAGGTACAAACTTCCAATTACAAAATAAATGAGTCACAGGTATGAAATGTACAGTGTGGGGAATATAGTCAATAATTATATATTATCTTTGTGTGGTGACACATGGTAACTAGACTTATCATGGTGATCATTGTGAAATGTATAGAAATACTGAATCACTATGTTGTGTACCAGGAACTAACAGTGTTATAAGTCAATTATACTTCAAAAACAAACTCAGAAAAAGAGATAGGATTTGTAGTTACCAGAAGCAGTCAAAAGGTACAAAGTTCCACTTATAAGATAAACAAATGCTAGGGATGTAAAGTACAACACAATAAATACAATTAACACTGTGGTATGTTATATAGGAAAGTTGAGAGCAAATCCTAAGAGTTCTCATCACAAGGAAAAAATTTTTTTCTATTTCTTTAATTTTGTATCTATATGAAATGATGGATGTTTACTAAACTACCTGTGATAACCATTTCATGACATATGTATGTCTAATCATTATGCTATATACCCTAAACTTATATAGTGCTGTGCATCAATTGTATCTCAATAAACCTGGAAGAAAAAAAAAAGCATTCCCAACTTTCCAGCTCCTCCTGACAATGCCGATAGAAAACTCCCATCATTTTGTCTGCATCTCCAGAAATAAAGGAAATAGAGGGATTTCAGTTGGCTGCAGTGGTAGTTTCCAACTGGGTAAACATAGGGAAGGATGGCAGAATGGTGGCAGGAACACTGGGTGAGTGTGGAACCAGTAGGGAATGGGCACTGGCCTCCCAGGCAGGTAGGCTGGCAGAGTAGTTAGTTTTTGCCCATCAGACCGTGGCAATAAAAGTAAGAGGAAAAGGAATCCCCTGGCAGTCCAGTGGTTAGGAAGTTTGGGACATCTGAGAAAAGATGGAAAAGATGCGCTTTCATTGCCAAGGGCATGGGTTCAATCCCTGGTCTGGGAACTAAGATCCTGCAAGCCACACGGGCAGGAAAAAAAAAAAAAAGTAAGAGGCGAGAAATAATTTTTAAAATCACAAGTTATTAAGTAGAAAGTTCTAGGAAAGAAATACAATCTCAAATTGAACCATCATTCACTGAAAACCTAATTTGTGGCTGGCATTAAGCTAAGCACGTTTGCATATAGCATTTTCTCATCTAATCTTATTTAACGATGCCATATGTGCTCCAGATTTTACTCTTTATTATTAGATACACTGTCTATGCCTTTGTTTTTGTTCTGCAGGAAAATATCAAGAAGCTCCTGCAACTCTGCCTTTACCCTTGATGGAAAATCAGGAAGCCACGTGGCTTGACAGGGTTTTCCATTGCCCAGTGGGGCCAGAAGAAACCAGCTCTACCTAACCTGCGATTTTTCAGTGTCTGAATCTCAAATTTCTGAACCAAGATGGCTGTTTGGAATAACTAACAAGTGTTTTGTCATCTCCCTGTTTCTCCTCTTCCCCATAATATTTCTTATTTACCACCAGGTGGCAATGAATAAATATGCCCACGCAGGCAAACATTAGGCAGAGTCTAAGAAAATATGACATTCCAAAGCAATTTACAAAAATAAATGCTCATCTTAACATTCTTCAAGTTTAAATTAACTTAGAGCCAGTTTGTTGTAAAGGGCATATAACTAAGTTTCAGAAGACTTGGACTTGGTTTTATTTCTGTCATTTTCTCAACATGTAACCTAGGACTAAATCTCCTCTTTTTCAACCTCGGTGTGTACAACTTAACAATAAAAACTTGGCAAGTTTGTGAACTGTCACCAAGCAATATATATATAAAAATATTTTGTCCATTGCTGAGGCCTGTATATTAGTCATTTAGCAAAACAGGCACAACCCACAAAAGATGGTACCGACAAAGCAAAAGAAACAAAATGCAAACTCAGGTTTTCTGTCTATTGTTTTCCTTTTCTGAAGGGAAACTTATTCCCACAACATTCCTGCTCCAATACCTTTCCTCATTTAAAAACCAAAATGCCTTTTGTGTCTTACTGATGAATAACTCTCTAATTTTGTAACAGCTTCTTTGTAAAGTTCTGAAATTCTGTTTCTTTCTCTCAGAACACTCAGTAGCACCTGCTTCATCCAACGCTTTCTAAAGGGGTCTCTCTTGTGGAATGGGCATCAAAGACTCAGACTAAATGTCCTCAAAGTTCTCTGACAGCCTGAGAGTCCCTGTTTCTGACTCCTCTCTTTCCCAGTCACTGTGGGAGAACTTTTTACCTCTTTCTTTTTCATCAGTCTCTCTGGGAAAATGTCCAACTTCACCATCTCTCCAATGCCTTAAAGCTACCCATAATTTTCAATATGCACAATTAAGATACCTCATTAATCCAAAAATCAGTCTAATAACAATTCTAATTATTTTGCCCTGTTCTGAACCTGATATGTGGGAAGAGTGGGGTGAGCTCTTGGAAATCATGAATGTGCCACCTCCATTAGAAGGACAGGTAAGAGCAGCTGACCCAGAGCACGGCTGCCTGCCTGGAGATGGAGGGGAGACGATGGCTCTGAATTTTCCCAGTGAACCAGAAGCAGCTCTGATCCAGGTCTGGGAGCTAACTGGGAAAGAGAAAAAAGTGGAACAGAAAGAGCCGTCCTCCAGAGAGGTCATACTTCACACCCCAGCCAACCTGTGAGGACAACTCAGTTGAAATCGCTTGGGGATCTATCTTGCCCCCAAGACCTGTTCTGACATGCATGTAAAAAGGCAAATATAAAGATAGTCTTTGCTACTTTGTTTATAATAGCAAAAAATCTAGAGAAAAAAATAAAAGCATAAATGTCCTCATTAAATCATTAGTTCTCAGTGCCACCCCCCAAGAGATACCTAGGAAATTTATGCAGGTGTTGATTGTCATGATCTTTGGGGTTACCACTGGTATTTATTGGTTGGCAGCCATGATGTATCTCACGCAAGGAAGAATTTTCCCCATCCAGCAAGGACTCTTGGTGTCCTGCCACATTGCTGTTGGTGAAAAACATCTAAGCCAAGAACTTAACTCCACTATATATAAACACAAAGCAAATTTTGCACAGTTTTAATATATGTTGATTTCTAAGAATAGAACCACCAAATAAACTGGGGCACATTGGAACTTTGTTTAGTTTGAATCTTTACCACGAGTTGTTCATCATCTCAGAAAAATCATGCAGTCCATGGCAATGTCATCCAGGGTATTTAATTCAGCAACAAATCACACCCAGATCTGTCTGCATTTGGGAATGTAGCACTCACTTGAGTCTATATTGGTACAAGCATCTGTCTACTTGATGATGTCATCTGCTGCAGTGTGCCCAAGTCATTTATATATCAAAGTACATGTTAATTTATTATAAATGTTTTTTCTTTATATCCTTATATTACAATTAGAACATTATATTGATTTTTAATCATATTTTAAGTAACTTGTATTGTTTATGAATTTCATTTCAGGACAGTATGGGGGTATTCTCCGATGTTTTTATAACAAAGAGTCATTGGTCCAGACAGAGTATCTTGAATAAAATATGATACATTATATTATGGAAAACTCTGCAACACTTAGAGGAATTAGCTAAATCTGCATATATTGATATGGAAAAATCGTTAAGACAGATAGTTGAGTGAAGAAAGGTGTTTCAGAGACATGGATACGGTATATGTACAGCTAATACCAATTAAACAAAAATACATGCACACAAAACCACACTATGCATGATGACACATATATACAGAGAAAAACTACATGGAGGAAACATCTGAAAGTCTGTAAAATAAACTTATATTTTATTCAGCCACAGGGATGGAATCAGGAATGGCAGTCAAAGTGGATTCCCACTTTATTTGTAATGCTTAAATGTGTACAGAGAATATATGCAGGTATTCATTACATAATTAAAAACTGCTAAAATTAAAATTTTGAAAAGAATTGCTGGGAAAAAAAGCTAAGCTTGAGTTCTCACAGTTGTCACTCCCTATTCCTGGCTTGAACCTCAGGGAGGCCGTCTGCATGAGCAGCCTGGGTATAGCGAGGCCACTGCCCCTGGAGCCAGCTCTCCTGCGGGAGGAACTTCACCGGCGCCAGGCAACCCGAAGGCTCTCTGAGCCCCACCTGCAGTCCCCCAGCAACAGTCAGCCACGTCTGGATTCCTGCATCCTGCACAGGAGACTGGAATAGAAAACACTTTGACCCGGGTCTCCACTGAGCCCAGGTGGAGCCCTCCACTGAGCGTGACACCCTGGGAAATGGGCTTTCCAATTCAAAGGTCTGCCACTCCAGGGAACAGCCCTGCATTTTCACCATCAGCCGTAAAGGCGGCCCTTACGTAAGCCTCCTTGCTTTGGGGCTTTACACGCAGGAGAGGAGGGCCAATTTCATGCAGCCGTCAAGACGGGACTGCGCCAAACTGGGCTTCCTCCCTCTGTTTCAGACCAAGACTCAGTGAAGCATCAGGATACCCCAGTCCCATAACAGGAAGGAGACAGGAGCATCAGAGAAGGGTTACAGTGAACCCCTGGGCCTTCTGCCATCACCATAGGATCAAGGGCTCAATGTACTCTGAGAAAGAAAGTGGGTACCTGATCCCACAGTGCCATGTGACTAAGTCGTAATGATTCGTGGTTATGGTCAGCACGAAGGGCCCCCTCTCTGAAGTTCACTGGGCTTACTGTCCATATTAAATACAACAGAAAACTTGGAACTCACCTTTTGGAAAGGCAGCTATAGCAGTAGAAGAGTACATTTAGACAGCCTAGTTTGGAGGAAGACGTTCTAAACATAACAGATCCATCTACATGCATGGTAACAGTCATTTCCCCAAGTCCCAGCAGCCTGGAGGACAGGTGACGCATCACAGTGGCACTAGGCTCCGTGTGCCCCAGCCTGCTCTGAGGATCTCCACACCCGGCCCCCCGGGCCTCCACACCCCCACACAGCTGTGCAGGGCTCTGCTCCCACGGCTGTCAGGCTCCCCACTGTTGCTGTCCATCCGGTCGCTGCTCTGCCTGCCCATGTCCTCACGTCACCACCACGCCCTGCGGTTCCCAGAGGAATGTTCCTGCCTCAGAGGAACATGCTCTTTCCTTCAACCTTCAACCTTAGACACACCTTAGACAGATAGGTCAGGACCAGAACACCTGAGAAAACTTCCCTGATGGCAAGACCCGAGTGCTATGAGAGGTCACACACCTTCACTCTCTCCAAACCCCAATGGGAGTTCCCTGCCTTCCAGGCATCCAGTTAGGTGACATTCTTTACTGCTTTATTTTTTACCCTCAAGTCCCCAGAACCTAGCCATCACTAACAAACTCTTCACAGACATAAGATTCCTGGTGTCTACACAGGCAAGCATTAAATGTGATTTAGAGTGTGAGTTCTGGCGTCAGGCCCACTAGGTTTGAAGGTCACCTTTACCATCACTTAGCTTGAGCTAGTTAACTTCCTGGATTTCAGCTTCATCATCTATAAATGAGCGCACCACACATGTTTCTTCCAAACGTTAAATGGCAATATACGCGAAGTGCCCAGCACAGTCCTGGTTCACATAAGACTCCAAAAGAGCATCAATGCTCTGTCCCGGGGCCACCTGGAAAGAGTGCAGATGAAACCCCCACTACAACTTCCCAACGCAGAGATGCACATTTTAGAGAACTGTATTCTGATGTATATACTATTTCCTTTTTTTAGCACTGTTTTCTTATCTCATAATGCTTCTGTGGAGAGTGGGAATTCTAAAATTATGCTGGATTGTGACTTTGTTTGGGGGACTTCTGAATTAAGAATATTCATAGGATTGTAGCTCTTAGTACCCAGGGGCCTTCAGAGATGATGTGGTCCTGCCCCTGACTTCAGGTAAGATCTTATTAGCCCCAGTGGAAGCCAAGAGAGCTCAAGAGACCTGGCTAGGGTCTCACAGTAAAGGATGAGGGATCAAAGGCAGAAAGAAGTTAGAATCAATCCAATAAAATTAGGATATTTGGTCACTTCCATTGTGTGTGAGTGTCCATGGTTCTTGGTGTCAAACCCTCAACTTCCTACGAACCAAGGGCATTTCTGTACAAAAACTGTGCTTGTTCACTGCTGTCCCCAAAGGCCAGTTACAATTAGATGCTTCCTCCAGACTTTGCTATAAAAGGAACAATAATTATGACAATATTAGGTTAATGCCATTTTTCTATTTTCCTACTGGTTTTCTTTCCAGTTCTGAGAATTGCAAAATGACAGCGAGGGATGTATTTCAAGCTGGAAAAGTGACAAAGGAAGAGGGAACAGAAAGAAACCCTCACCAGGAAATAAAAGACAAGTAAAGGGGCTTCTCTGGTGGCGCAGTGGTTAAGAATCTGCCTGCCACTGCAAGGGACACGGGTTCGAGCCCTGGTCCGGGAAGATCCCACATGCCGCGGAGCAACTAAGCCCGTGCGCCACAACTACTGAACCTGCGCTCTAGAGCCCGCGAGCCGCAACTACTGAAGCCCGCGTGCCTAGAGCGTGTGCTCCGCAACAAAAGAAGCCACCGCAATGAGAAGCCCGCACACCACGAAGCCCACGCACCGCAACGAAGAGTAGCCCCCGTTCGCCGCAACTAGAGAAAGCCCGTGCGCAGCAAGGAAGACCCAACGCAGCCAAAAATAAAAACAAATTTTTTTAAAAAAACACAAGTAAAGAACAAAGTAAGCTTTGGTGCCTCTCGGGACAAATCCCGGCTCGGGGCAGAAGACCCGGCCCACGGGGAGGATGCTGAAGACCCGGCCCGACGGAGCGAGCTGGAGGGCAAAGGGGCGGGAAAGAGTGACCTTCATTTTCAATCCAGCTGGGCTGCTGGGAGACAGAAGCAAAACCTCCGCCGCAGAGCAGCAGCAGGAACAGGACACATTAGACACAGAACATATCATTGTGTGCTTGGAATTTCCACTCGCTTCATTCTCCTACCAGGCGCCCAGCAACACGGCAAACAAGACTGGCCTGCTCACGGGTAAGTGTCCTCGGCACCGGCACCCGCTCCTCCCAAGAAAACCGAGGTCTGACTCCAGAGCCCCACACCACGACTTCATTTGGACAGAGCCTCTCTGGGGAGGCAGAGGCGGCGGCTACATCCCCCATCACACCTCACTGCACAGCTTCACAAATGTCCCCTTGAAGTATCTGGGCCGTTTGTAACCAATGTTCTGCCCCAGAAGTGTCACCAGGTTAAGCTCATTTACTATTTCCTGGCAATAAAAATAAAATCTGGGTAATAAAGCCTCACCTTTTTTTTTTTTCCTTTGTCCTTGGTCGGGTTTCACTTGCTCACAGGGGACTACGTGCTGAGGCCTCGCACCCGGCCCTGCGGAATGACTGCCGCCGGCACCTCGCCTCAGGCGGGCGTGTGCAGAAGTGAGGCGAACGACACTGCATCCAAGATGGCGCCCGGGGCCGTGTGCAGAGAGGCTGCACGTGACGGTGCCATCCAAGATGGCGACCGGGGCCGTGTGCAGAGAGGCTGCACGTGACGGTGTCATCCAAGATGGCGACCGGGGGCCGTGTGTAGAGAGGCTGCACGTGACGGTGTCATCCAAGATGGCGGCCGGGGACGTGTGCAGAGAGGCTGCGCCTGGAGCTGTTATCTGGAGCCGTGAGCATCACTGCTGCGCTGGAAGGGGGAGAAGTCTGTCCTGTCCCCTCTCCTCCCCGCTGAGGACATCCCTATAAAGCAGCCCCACCCACGGCCTAGGTGGGGAACACTGTGCTCTAAAGCAGAGCTTGCATCTCTCCATTTTTTGACCAGATAATAAAGCTTTCCTTTGTTTCTGAACCAAACTTGGTCTCATTCTATGGGCTCGAGCGACACCAGGCAGGAGGACCCTTGTTGGGTCCTGACTCGAAAGGGTCAGTAACAGAAGGCACCTGCCGCATGTCCGCCAAATCTCTTGTTCTCTCTCGAGCCACCTTCTTCCAAGGCCTCTCTGGTTCTCTGCCTCTCCGTCGCCACCGCCAATCCCGTTTCTCAGTTTTCCCAGCCCGCACGCCCCACTCAGCCAAACAAAATCCTCATTAATGATTCTGATTCCAACTACGGTCCTGTTCCCAATTCCTATGTTTTTTGCCACAGCACCAAACAATTCCTCAACACTGGCTGAGCATCCTACAATTCAACAGAATTCTGACATTATCTACCCCAGGTTAAGGGCTCATTCCCACCAGACTGCCCCCACTTCCAACACCAACAGCAAGTCTATAGATCAGAGGCTCCCATGACCCCCTCCTCGGGTTGGATTAATCTGCTAGAGCGGCTCACAGAACTCAGGAAAACAGTTTACTTATTAGATTACTGTTTTATTATAAAAGGATATAATTCAGGAACTGCCAGATGGAAGAGATGCACGAGGTAAGGCAGGGGGATGGAGGATGAAGCTTCCTCTCCAGACACCAGTCTCCCAGAATCTTCATGTGTTCACCAACTCAGGAGCGCTCCAGATGCTGTCCTTTTGGGGTTTTACGGAGACTTCATTATGTAGTCATGATTGGTTACATTGCGGCCCATTAGTGATTGATGGAGCCCCTCTCTTCTCCCAAGAGATTGGGGTGGGACTGAAAGTTCCAACCCTCTAATCACATGATAGGTTCTCCTGGCAACCAGGCCCCCTATCCTTAGGCTACCGAGGGGCTTTCCACAAGTTGCCTCATTAACATAACAAAAGACACTTTTTATCATTCTCATCAGAAGAAATTCCAAGAGTTTTAGGTGCTGGTCAGAAACAGGGACAAAGACCAAATATATATTTATTAAATTACAATATCACATTGATTCATCACCATTATCTCTAAAGCATTTAACCCAGGGGGAGGGGGAGGAGAAGAGCAGACATTCATTCCAGAACACCTACTTCCACAATGACATATGTCTTTTAAAAATCAAAAATATGGGACTTCCCTGGTGGTGCAGTGGTTAAGAATCTGCCTGCCAATGCAGGGAACCCGGGTTTGAGCCCTGGTCCGGGAAGATCCCACATGCCGCAGAGCAACTAAGCCCGTGCACCACAACTACTGAGCCTGTGCTCTAGAGGCCGCGAGCCACAACTACTGAAGCCCACGTGCTGCAAATACTGAAGCCCGCACCCCTAGAGCCCGTGCTCGGCAACAAAAGAAGCCACCACAGTGAGCAGCCCGCGCACCGCAACGAAGAGTAGCCCCCGCTCGCCATAACTAGAGAAAGCCCACGCACAGCAACGAAGACACAACACAGCCAAAAATAAATAAATAAATATATACATATATATATTTTTTTTAATTCAAAAATATGCCTCGGGCTTCCCTGGTGGCGCAGTGGTTGAGAGTCCGCCTGCCGATGCAGGGGACACGGGTTCGTGCCCTGGTCCGGGAAGATCCCACATGCCGCGGAGCGGCTGGGCCCGTGAGCCATGGCCGCTGAGCCTGTGCGTCCGGAGTCTGTGCTCCGCAACGGGAGAGGCCGCAACAGTGAGAGGCCCGCGTACCGCAAAAAAAAAAAAAAAAAAAAAAAGAAGGGAAGGAAGGAGGAGTGGGAGAAAGAAAGAAAAAGAAAAGAAACAGTGCTGCCACCTTTGCTTAGTCGGTGCTCTGTCCAGATGATGGGCAGCTTGTCAACAAGAAGGCTTAAGCAGAGTGAAGCCTCTCTCTCTAGCTTGTATCAAGAGACACTTTCAAATAATGGTCATTCTTTTTTCCCAGCCAGCACCTCCTAGACGATTTGGTTTCTGCTTTTCTGTCTGTGTCTAGAACTGAAGCCAGAAGGTAAGGCAAACCCTTCATCATACCACTATGAGCCCCTCCGTCTCTTCCTTTCCCCCCAGGGTCTTACCTTCCCTCCTCTCAGAGGCTGTCATTACTGGGATGACACCGACAAGCTAAGAGAGCTACTTTCTAGCCTAAAGCCTACCCATTATCATTATCATAATAATTAGAATTTTTAAAAAATCACTGTCACCTTCACATCATGCTGATGAATATCCCCAGGACATTCTAAAATTTTATAAACAGTAATTATCTGCTGATAGCATACCTGGAATTTGAGGATACAGATGCAGCTACCCACTTTCCTCACCAGGTGGCGCTCACACTTTATGACCTG